CGGGTGCCAACCGCCTCCTCTGATTGTCTACCCCCTTCCCACACTACCATTTCCTCCCACCTGGCTTTGTTTTGCTCCCTTTCATGGGTGGAGTGTGTGCTAATCGAAAATTGCGCTTGTTGAGCATTCGATAAATGTGCTATAGTTTGGGACTTAGAGATGGGAGCGTGACACGAAAAGGTATTATAATTATATTCGAATATCCAAGAATCAGAATAAAATCATTTATCTGAACCTTCACACCGCCTATCCTTTTAATATAGAAAATCAAGTGCACTCCCGTCTTTAACTTATCGCATTAGTCGGGCCCTGTTTGCCGTTAGCCACTTCGGAGAGCGTTACGCTTCATCAGGCAACAGATAGTCATCGCATGGAGATCGCTAGGTTCATAAATTAAATTGGCGAGCTCTTTCGGGGACTTGAGCTCTTGAAGCCTTCCAAGGCATTTGTCATGTGTGTGTGGGGATTGGAATGGCCCCGCCCACACACCCACACACATGCAGTCGCGACGCTGGGAAAGGTAACACGGTGTCCATCAATTCTTCACTTCACTTTCATTTGAATTTTCGCAGGAGACTTGATTTTCCTTGGAGCTCCGCAGTAGGTGGGTGTTTTTAGTGGGGCACATTTTGCAGTGGATTTATTTATACTTTTATTTTGGGGCCTGTTAATTTGACTGGCTCGCCATGTGAAAGTTTGCTGCATGCCGCAAATTGCACAGACGTGCGAATGTTGGTCTAGGCAGGGGGTGTGGGGATCCATCCCGCGAACAGACCAGGTTGCCTTGGCTGGTTGGCTGGTCACCTGTCCCTCGGTTCCACATTCATATTTCATGGCGCTCGAGGAGCCCCCAAGGCAGGACAATGAGTCTTTGGTCCATTCGCAGTCCATAAATCCACCAAATGAGGCAGTCCATCTTGTTTCGGGGATGTGGTTTGGTCAAGAGCCGTGCTTTTCGTTTGGATAGTGCTAAGCCGAGATAATGGCCGGCTTTCAGTGCCTGTCTGGTTCGATTTAGTTGAAAAGTAAATTGAAAATTGCTCTGGGACTGCGATGGGGGAAACTAGAAGATTGGTTGAGTGGGCGGGCTGAAGGGTCTTTAAACTCATTACGGATGGTAGAATAGTGTGGTTCATCGACTTGCTATCGATCGGAAATCTCTTAATTTCCCCGGGAACTGTATTCTTGCAATGTTAAATGGCAAATCTGCTGGCAGTTGAACTGACCACTAAAAATATTTTTGAAATGTTAAGTAATTCACTGCAATTGGTTCAACCTTTTACCTTCATCAAAATGTTTTCCCGACTCCAGGTCGGGTTCCATAACTTTTCCAAGTTACCCAAGGCGAACATAAATCTCCCCATGGGTCCAAGAGCCCAACCCAAACCGAAACCGAAGCAGTAAACCTCCACTTAACCTCCATTTCCCATTCCCATTCCCAGACCCAGACCCCAGACCCCACAGAAACATGAGCATAAATTGAGATTTTGCTAAACATTTGCAAAACTTATTAAGACTGACAAATGTTGACAATTGACGAACTGACGCGCGGGGCGATCGGCAGGTAGGGAAATCTGTCAGTGGTTCAACAAGCGGTTTTGGCCCGGTCTTGTCGCATGTTTCTCTCTTTATGCGGTTTTCCCTCACTCCCCTCGCCCAAATTGGCTCGCTGGCTGCCTTTTCGGTAACATTAATTTACAGTTTGCCAATTGCGATAAAAAATGGAGAACAACGGCAAAACTCATTAAGAAACACTCTGGAGATAAGCAGGGGGAACTTTACAAGAACCTACGAAGCAGGGAGGCACTAATTTATTACCAATTTTTGGCAGTTTTTGTTTGCTCGCAAATTGCTTCTGAATTGCGAGGTAAACAAAAATAAATGGGAAACTAAACTCGCATGTAATGCTATCTGCAGACCTCAGCCCAGAGATCAATTGGAACACTCAGATGCGATCATAAATTAGCAGGGAAATAATATTTTAGTGGTCCATGCAAGAAAAGAAAGTTTACCAGCAAGGCGTATGAGTCCAAACCGATGTTTAGTTACTCTTAAAGATGTATCTTGAGTTTTGTGTTTCAGTTTTCCTGAAACTTCCTAATATTATAAGATCAAACATATTATAATTTTAACTAATAATATCTTGAAGAGAAAAGGTATCTGAAGAATCTTCAATTCTTCCCCCATTCAGCTCTTCCTGCTTTACGAAAGGGAAGAGCAGATAAGCTTTCTTCGCACGCACACCCGTCCAAAAGCGAGTATTATGCAATGATCCTCTGGCCACTCTGCATTTCCCTGCCTCGCTGCTTCTGCATTTTTCTGACCACTGGAGGAAATGAGGTGAATGCCTTCTTAGCAGGCGACAAGCAAAACAAAAACCGAGTAACTGAGAGACTGAGGAGAGGAAGCGACAGCCCAAAGTCCATAAGCCAAGCGAAATCGATATTTTTCAGGGACGCCCCCTCCTCTTCGTTGCTGAAAGGCCCCTTGCCACACTCCTCCTCCATTTCCTTGCATTTTTATGCTCTTTCCTTCGTTTTCTTCTTTTCCATATGCACTTGAAAATATCTTGAGTTTGATTCCATTTTCGCTTAGAAAAGATTCTTTCTAATGATGCTTACAAATAAGAAATATTTTTTTGCATTGAAGTTAACTTTAACTTTAGTTTTATATAATATTATTAGTTTAACATTTTCCTTATTCTTATGCTTGTTTCCCAGTGTATTTCTTGTTTTTTCACAATGTGGTTTTAACAATTTCGTGCCCATTCAGATAGGGTAGCTGTGTCGGGGGATGAGGCAGTGAGTGAGGGGCAGGAGCAATCCAGAGTATGACTAGTTTGGAACTGGGTGGTGACTCACCCACAGAACATTTGCCACCAGCTTGCAGTTCTCTTTGCACTCGTATCTGTATCTGTGGCCGAGTGTGTGTCGCTCTTTCGTTTCGTATCTTGTGGTTTCGGTGGTGCTGAAGCCACATCAATCCATCAGCCGACTTTTTCACTTAAACGTGTCGCTTTGGTTTGCCCCATTCGGTGGGTAGATGGTGATGGTAGAGAACGCTGAAAATCTAGGTGGCAAAGAGGCCACACTCCGTTTTTATGATATATATTTAATAAATTTTATGATCGAATTAACAGGCGATTAACTTTAATTAATGGCTTTGAAAATGCTTTTAAAAGACGTTGTTTATGGTAAAAACTGTGTTAAAAATTCATTAAACTACCCAATTTTTATGGCGCAGATTTGTTCGAAGTAAATTCGATTTTGGCTATTAACGAAAAACTTGTAAATATTTTACTGCACCATTTTCTTCCCTATTAAAATTCCTTTCGAATTTCGAATTTCGGATTCTAAGCCATCCGAGAAGCCCATCAAAGAACCAACCCAAGTTTACTTTCACATTCGCAGCCGGTCCTCAGCGCAGTTTCACGACGCGCAAGAACATTAACCTGCCTCAAGTTATCGCCTCATCTTTAACTCGTTCGTGGACTTTTCCTCTTTCCCAAAGCCATCAGCCATCAGACTGCTCCGTTCCTCCCTGGAGGCGATACTCAATTACCTGCACTTGTCACAGAGCCCAGATGGTTCAGCCGGGATAATGACGATCACTTAGCACATGATCCATTCCATGGTTAGCGACTGAAAAGTCCGCAGTCATCGCGCTGCAACCGATGATTAGCAGGCAGGCAGGCATAAATTCTAAGTTTTATCTCGCAGATTGCGTAACGGTTGTCTTTGAGGCTTCCCAGCTTTCCTCCTCGCAGTTTGTTAGCCGTAAATGGCAAGCACTAATTGCCTCGCCCGCTCATAAAACGTGGAAATGTTGCAAGAGCGCAGGGGCGAGATCGGAATCATCGTTAAAAGCAAGTGTTCGTTTTTTGTCTCCGGGCGAATGCAAATATATAGGTATCCGAAAAGAGGGGAAAGCCAATCGATCCACCGATCGATCGGTCGGTCGGTCGTTCATCGAAATCATCGGTCAGGCCCTTAGCCTGGGGCCCAGCACTTGTTTTCAGCTCTTTCGTTTCGTTTGGGAAAGCACCGATTGCATAAGTAGGACACCAGGGCGGGGTCCTCGATTGGGGATTTTGGGTTACCGAAATAGAGGAGAAAACGGAGAAGGAATGCTTGCAAAGGAAGTAAATTACGTTGAGAACTTCTGGTTAGCTTTTTGGTAACACAAGCTGACCCATTTAGTGAGTGTGTTTTTGGTGGAAATAACAAATTCTCCATTTAAAATGTCACAAAAATGTCACACGAATCGGCGACTTCCCCTGGCGCCCTAACACCGCCGCGAAGTGTGAGCAAATGTGTTTAGCTCCACGCCCCGTGGACCACTAATATATCAACCCGCCCCTTGATCTCGCCCAGAAAAGGCAATTAAATTCCCCAAGAGCTGGAAGTTCGCTCGCGTTGCAGTGGTTTCGGTTCGGTATTCGCTTTTGACCTCGTTTCTGATGTGGATACTTTGGGTGGGGATTCTGGGAAGGGAGTTGGGTGGCGAATTCAGGTTTATTTATAGGTCTTGTGGGGGCGATTGAGTTGTTAATTAGTCGATTTGGGAAATGCTTGGAAAAGCTTAAGTGGAAATGTGTGGGATTTTCTGGCTGCTTTAATAATATTCCTTAGTAGTTACCACCTCTTGACAATTTTACTAATAAATTTATATTTCTCTCTCTTACAGGTAAGTTGAAGATCACTCATGGTTGGTGGAATGATATGACGTAAGAAAAATCAATTTGAACTTCCTCGTTAACCATTTCCCTAACGACCCCCGTCGATTTCCCCACCCGCTGACTTTCCCAACCGTTAGAGATGGAAGCGCAGGCGGATTAAAGAGCGGCTAATTATGCGCACGTAGGCCGGATATGGACAAAGTAATCCGTATGCTAATCACATGCAGATGCGGTCAGTCTTGATCCATCTACGGAGTGTAGGAAGCATTACTTAACTGCATTGCTTTGGGAGATGAGGATGCATATTGAATACTACTGAAGGTTACTTTGTTGCACTTTAACTATTTCTTTGCTAATCGGAAATAGGATGGACTAGACAAATAATTTAGATTACGTTAGACAAGAACTTTTGGTGTCAGGGGGATTAACATGTTCGTTCGGCTATTCCTCGAACAAAAATGGATCTGGTAATCTTCAGCTTCTTCGATGACCTCATAACATGTGGGGGTAATCGATAAGGATCGGGAGGCAGCCGTAAACTTCTTCGATGCAGTGCCATTCGGGCCAGATCCTTGTAGTGCTGCTTTCGGTCCCTGCTCATTTTCCTCCACATATCGCTGGCCACTTTCTGGAGGCGCACGAGATCCTGGAATCCCAGCCTTCGGTTGGTTAGCTGCTCTTCTGGCTGCAAGCCGAGCCTCATTCTCTCCTCGTAGAGCAAAAGGTCGTAATATCCCTCGTACACCTCCCGCACGAAGTTCTGGAAGGCCGATGTTTCCGCTTTCATTACCACATTTCTATTTTTCTGATGATCCAAGGTGCTGGGCGAAAAGACCACATGACGGCTTACAGACGGATGCGCAAAGCGGAATCGTCGTCGTGAAGTCCTTTCGCTGCGCAGACTTCGGTGGGTTAGCAGGCTGAGGCGACTTTTGTGAATGACCAGGGTGGTGTTGTTCTCGGATCTCTTAGGTGGATCTGTTAGGGAGCCCAAAACTCGCCAAAGATTTCTCCAGAAGTGCGGCATTTTAGACTGGGTTGCAGGATGAGTTGACCATCATGGCCTACTGTTCTCATTCTCATACTATAAGGAACTTCCACGAGAACTGCCTTTTGGGGGTAGTACTTGTTTTCCCTGGACTATGTGTTTTACCAAAAACCGAAAATCAATAAAATCAACGATTTATATTAAGAAAAACTGTGGGCAATCTGTGGGCCGAGAGCAACTGCCACTCTCATCTTTCAATTTAAAGGCAATTTTTTTTAAATTATTAAAACCCATTTTTAAACCCCAAAGAAAGTCAATATTTTCCCTTCAGAGTTTTATTTTTAATATATGTAATCAGTGTTCCTCCGCCTTAGTCTGATTGACTCCCTCCCTCGCCTCATCCAGAGTTGTTCTTCACCGCGATGACGCACTCCTCCCCACAGGCCGCCAGCACAGTGCAGAGGAGATCCTTGCCATCCTCGAAATCGGAGCGAATAGCTCCACCCAGTTCCCCGTCCGGAACCTTGAGATCCTCGCGAATCTCCCCGTTGTCCGACATCAGGGTGACAAAGCCATCATCACTGATGTCGCTCAGCTGGTAGTCCTCGCGCTTCACGTGCGGCACATCCATGTTGTGGGTCGAGGGGCAGATGTCCTCGTACTTCTTCTGGGTGAAAATGTCCACGCCCACCAAGTGGACCTTGGCGTGTCCGTGCTTTCCCGTCTTCGAAGTGGACATGTCCACAATCTTGCACGGGCGGCCCTTCAGCATGACGAAGCCATTCTTCCGCAAGGCCGAGCACTGCATGGGAAAGGTCTTCGAGGCGCCCGAGTCCGCGGTGTCAAACTCCGTGTCGTCCACATCCGACATGTTTGACGATTATTTTTTCAAAAAGTTTCTTAACTAATTTTTGTACCGTCTTTGTCAAAAGTAGGGAAATTAAAAAATTTGACTTTTCCGTTCGCTTGTTGGGTTGTGACTGAGGCCAAGGCAATACCCACCTAGGAAGATGTAGTCTTTGAAGTGACAGGAAAATCAGAGGATTCTTTTCGCAGTTTAAAAGTGACAAGAAAATCAGCCACCACTTAGGTTAGAATAGTATTGCTTTCTGTAATCAGATTTGAAGTAGTTTCAAAGGCCTAGCATGACCGATTGAGGCAATCTTCCGAGATCTTTAACTACGGGCCTCTACTGCTGTTCATGCTCGCTGTGATTGCTGCCACATACTCCATGAATTCCTTAACTGATCCCCATTTAGACAAACTGATCTCGATAATTTATCACTCAGTAAATCCCTCCTAAACGTAATCCCCAAATGAAATTAATTACCGATCATTAGACTGCTTCGCTCTCTTACACGGGGCGTGTCAGGGTCAGTTATGAAATCGCCTCGAATCGTTTATCAAAGTCGGTGGGTCATTCCGGCTGGGCTTGGATGAGGTGTGGTCCGTGGATAGTTCGTTGACCCACTGAGCTGGGAGTTGGAGTGGGCCACACCGCTAGGCCAGACCCCTGATCACACAGACTGAGGTGGGCCACCTGAACAAATTCAACGTTATTTGCGAATCGAACAGTTTCCCAGCTTTTCCTCGCCTGTCGCTTCTCATTTGCATTTTCACTAATTTTTCTTCCCCAGCTTGTTTACACTCAGATACCCTTTCGATGAGTTGTTGGCTGTAATACGTCATTATGCCAGTTAGGAGGAGAGTAGATACTGTTCTTAGGATAGAAATAATGTGGCTATATCCCTAGATATTCCAATTTATGAGGATATTCAGATCTTCGGTGTTATAGCTACTTCTTCCCAGGGTGTAACTTTTTTTGTGGCGTCGCCTTGGCGGCTGAGGATTCTGCTTCTTGCCGCCGTTCAGTCCCCCGCTCCTCGCACACCCTGTCTAATTTTTTATTTTAGCTGTCTGTGCGGATCATTTTGAATTGACAGCAGCTCGTTTCGCTTCCTTGTTTGCCAATTGCATTGGCAAACGACTTGAAAGCATTTGCATGGGTCCAGGATGGAGCGGGTGGGGGCGGGGCGGGGTTTATTGAACGAGAGGAGGATAGACAGACACTCACTCAATCATGCATTCATTTAGTCAGTTGCTCATTCAATCATTGCCCACCACCGCCACCGCCTGCCTCCCCGCCATTCAAATTTTGTAACTGTTTTGTCTGCCAATTTGACATTTCTGCCAACTCTCCTGCGCTTTTCCAGGCCCCCAAAGAGCCCCCAAAACCCCCTTTGTAGGTGTGTTAGCTGGCTTGTTTTCCTGTGCGTGGTTTGCGTCCCCCTCTTCCCCGAACCACGCTGTCATGTCTCTGGGTTAAATGCAATAAATTTGCTAATACAATTTAATATGATTTCGAGCGGAGTTTGTGTTTGTGTTTTGTGGTTCGGATTGGGAAGCTGGAGCGAGGGCACTCCCTGAACTTAATTGGGACCCTGGGAACCTATTTGCGAGCCGCGCATGATGTCAGAACTTTGAGTGTGTCGTGTCCAATCCGAAAGAATAAATAAATAAATAAATAAATAAATACAAAAAATGCAAGCAAATTGAAAATTTGACAAATAAAAGGAAACACATGTGGTATGCTGACAGCTCAGAGTTCTGAGTAATTAAAGCGAGTGAAGGGGCAAGGGGCAACGAACAAGATTATAAAGACCCGCATATATGCCGAGTACAGTTCTGAAATGAAACCATAATGTTGCTGCAAGTTGCTGGATAAGAAACGGGTGCGTCTATTTATAGGAATTGCTCACAAGATTAATGGGGAATTTATCGAAGAAGTTCGAGGAAACTGGTTTCGAGCGGTTCCAAAGGATGATGACAAAGTGGGTTCTGATATTGTATACCCTAATGAATCTCTATGAAAGTGACGAAACGAAGTGAGTTATTTAACTTCAAGTTCCAACTTTGATAAGAACTAATATTTTTACTTTGGTGTAGAAAGTCTACTAGTAGGGACAGAGAGTAACCACAGATGGCGCTATTCGGGGGGGCAGTTTCCCGACCTTATTTATAGTGAGGCAAACGGTTTCTCATATTAACAAACAATACGGATAAAAATTAATGCATTTTGTGCAATGTTCCCTGGTTCCCATAAGCAACAGCCACACCCTCATCGACCTCCCCCTTTCAGTCAGTATAATGCGTGCTGTTGGCAACTTCCAAGCAGCATAAGGAAGAAACGGCAAACCAATTCAGGCCACTCCCTCTGATGTGCCGCCTCTCCGCTGCTTAGCCAACTGACATAATTCCCAAGGAAAATGTTAAATGCATCAAAAACAACAGTTATGTCTCAATTAGGCGCAGACCAGCTAGCAATGAAAATAGGAAAAGCAGCTAGCAGCGAAAACAGTATCAGCAGCCGAAGAAAGCTCAGCTTAAACTTTAAGAAGCAGCCAAACAAATTCATTATAAAAACAAAGCACGAGCGGACGGAAAAAACAATTTTTCGCAAACAATGTGCATTGGGAAAAATTGGAAAAAAAAGGAGGAAAATAGCGAGTAGAAAAACCTCCACGCAATGCTGCTTTTCCTGCTTCCCATGGCCCCAAAAACAAAAAGTTGGTCAGCGTGGAAAATGGTTTTTCATATAAATTAATTTTCAGTTAACGGGGAGGCTATGGGAAAAATCCAAGGATGCAAATCACAGGGGCGAAGGTGGGCAAATTGAGTGAGCCTTTAACCCGAAGCTGCACTGTCCTTTTTTTGTTGTTGTTGTTGCTGGAAAATCGTTGATGGGGCAAAACCCACGCAGCGTTTGCTACTTTAATGGAGACATCAAGCGGTGGCTTCCCCCCCCCCTCTCTCTCTCTCTCTCCCTGGATTTCTCTATATCAATTTTTTGCTGTGGCGCCTCAATTGCTTTTAATGGTCACTTGTGGCGCCCCTCCACTCATTGAGTTTTCGGTGCCCCTTTGTCAATGGCCACTGCACTTTCCGTTTGTTGGCTGTCACAACTCTGTTTAATTTTATTTATGTTCGGGCGCTCCATGAGGGGCCTGTCTGCTTTTCTGTCTCTTCTCATTGAGCACCGGCACGCACGCCCCCGCTTTTCCGCCCCATGTCTCACGCAATTTAATGTTGCACTCCAATACTGCCCCTTGGCTGACTGTCAGCGAAGCGTTGAGTGGCGTTCTGAGTGGCTGTATCTGTATTTCTAAAAGTATCTTTTTATAATCTCACTTATATCAGGCGGAGGAGGAGCTGCTCTCAAGACTCCCCCCCAACTCGATCAATATTCGATATCCAATATGAATTCCATGGGCCCCTCTCAGGGTCGTTCCGCTTTGGCTGTCCAATGCTCTTGGCACGCAATTAGCATTCAAAACTCAAATATTTCCCTATGCTGCGGGGCCTTGCCCAACTTGGTTGGTTGTCATTTGAATATTTCATTACCAAAGTCAAGCTGCATCGTAGCGATGTACTAGGCTGGGCTTGGCTTTAAGCCGAAGTCGATAATGAAAATCTGATTAGGCAAGTTAAGATGTGAATATAACTTAGGGAAACATATTAAAATCATATATGGTAAACCCCTCAAAAGACCTGTGAAAGTCACATTTCTGAGCTCGGTGAAACTTGAATTCTTATTTTTGAAATTGCTGGCAAGTCTCGTTGAGTTTCCAGAGAACTTTCGCGTTTCAAGTACTGGGGTATAATTCAATTTTATGGCACTCTGTGCACACCCAGAACGAAGTCAGCTTTCCTTCTGCCTCCTCAGCCGATGGCAACGCGCAACCTGCAACCTGTTCCCAAGTAAACCAAATCCATTCATCAATCTGACTGGGTCTCCCCCTCCCCCCCGTGACGCATTTATCTTGTACCTGTCTGCCCACAAGTTCAGTCGGTCCAACACTTCCAAACACTCCACTAAACTTGCCTCCACTTCGCGGCACGCACTTCCCCGAGCAAAACCGAAAACGAAATAAAAAGATAATAAAACCGACTTTCCAATTGACCCACTTAACACTGTTCGGGCTTACTTAATCTGCTGCGAAATGGAACGCAAAGGGTTCGGGCTTATAAATGTGGGACCCCTCGGACATTATAAATAATCTCTTCCCCAGAGTGGCAGGAATGGCTGGTAGGAAATGGAGTCGTCGAGGCTTACAATTAATTAGATAAGCACGAGAGGCAAATGAATTTTCATAAGTTTATCGTGGCCGCAGATCGCGGAGATCCCCTCAAAGAGGTTCGTTGCATCATTAGCACTATCAGCTTGTGTTTTGGGTGAGTGACTGATGGGATGATCAAGAGATATAGTAGAATCCGTACAGTTGAGAAAATCAACATTGAGCTTAATAATATGCCGCCAAAATCAAGCCATTTCCTCGACACCAAATGGAGTCATTAAGTTTTCGAATCGAACCACACCTCGAGTTGATTTTCGAAATTAAGTAATTAAAGTTCTGCCTTGGTCGCACCTCCAACTCCGTTTATCGATCAGAAATCGAGTAATAATTGAATGCAGAGGGTGTTTACGTTCTGCCACTCCCACTTTTCCAGCCTGCCGCCGCTCTATTTGTGAAACCGTTAGGAAAAACAGAGATGATAAGTGCATTGGCACAGCACTCCAGAGCGGCGAGGAAAACCGAAAAGGAAAATCGTATCCATGACTGCATTTACCAGCCCAAAACAGCTGACTAATGGTGCAGGGAAAGGCGGGGTAGAAGGAAGTGGAAAAACACGCCCCTGCCAGTAATTAGTTGAGAATGGTAGATATCCCTAGAAGAAGACGAGAAGTGACTGGCTGAAGTTCATGCGGGTCCCCCAGAATGGCGAGAATTTTCCAAGTTTATCCATCGAGTAAGGCTCGTGGAAAGGGGAGAGGGAAAATCATCCATTTACTATTCAAGTTGCTGCAAACAAGTGCATGCAAAGCGAAAATCAATAAAAATTAGTCGACACTCTCTGACAATGCAGTTTATTTCCCAGCAGGCGGGGACAACTTTTGCCAGCTGTCAGTTCATGACATTGATATGAAAAGGAGAAGGGGCAGGACCAATG